CCCCAAAACCCCAAAACCCCAAAACCCCGACATTTTTGGAGGTTATTGAAAATTCCAAGAAAATTTGATTTTTGATAATTTTAGAGTTTTGGAGTTTTGGTTATGGAAGATTCGAAGGTTCATTCAATACAAATATTTTAGTCAAAGCCGGAGGTTTGTATGTAGACAAACATTGGGGCTACGTAGAGCCTACTTTTATTTGAAGTCTATTTCATATTATGTAGCCCTATTAAAAATAGCCAAAAGACTGCAGTTAGTGCTGCCATGCGACGACTATATTACTGTGATATGTCATTCCAAACCAAGATGCGCCATCTTGGGCCGTAGACCCACCAATTGGAGTGTGAATGCTCTAGAATAGACCCTAGTACAATAATATTAGCCTGGAATGTATAAATATGAGTCTCTGATTTGTAATAAAGCTCTGCTAGCAAATGCCTCCTGTAAACACTCTTGAAGGATGGACAAAAGCATTGCCTATTAATATTTGACTCCTAAATCTGGATAAATGCTACTGCAGGAGTTCAGAGAATTCTTTGGGAAGTAACCAAGAGCATTCTCTCTTTCTTCAGAATTGCTTGTTTAATTATCTTAATTTAAAATACTGGCGAATTTGTATTTGGGTAAAAAATCCAATGAAATTACTAAAGGGCTTTAATTATTCAAATATTTTGCCTCTGAAATACCATATTGAGATTTCAGGTTTCTACTGCAAGTAATTTTTATGCTAATTAAACAAATTTATATTAAACCACACAGATATGAAAAAGAGCAGTGGGTAAATTCAATTATGCTGTCAAATAGATATGCATTAGCCATCCCTAAGCATGATGAGTAAGTCAAAAACCTCTTGGCTCCCTTCTGGGCCCAACACTGTAGTTTTTATCCTCTCCAATAAACTTAATGAACGGGCTTTAGGAACCCTAAAATTCAGGCCGACTCAAGAGATAATGCTTTAATAGCCGAAGGAAAAAGATTGGAATTATACAGTGGGACCTAAGGATTTTTGTGGTTTGCCTGCTGTTCTTCTAAATGCTAACTGTGCTAGCCTAATACTCTTATTTCCTTCCTTTAGCTTGGGTGTTTCAGAAGTTATTCACCTTGCAAAATGTCAGGAAAATCCGTTGACTTCTAAAATAAAATTCTGAATTTGATTGTGTTTCTTACACAATATTTTCATTCTTAAAGAATGCCACAGAGAATGCGAAAATTTTGAGAGCCAACAGATTCGATACTTACGAGCAGGTAAATTTGACAATTTTTAGAAACCGGGATTAACTTCCATACTGACAAAGAACATCTTAGAATTTTGAAAAGATAAAACCTTCGGTCAGTAAAAATGTACGTTGAGGATTTGTTAATTCAGACTCAAGTCTGATGATTCTCAGGCTTTTTGATTCCTATTTGCACTCTGTCTCGAACAGCCTAGGCTTCCTAAAAAAGGATTTAATGCATATAATTGCCAAAAAGGGGAGCTGCATTAACAATATTTTCAGATTTATATTAGTCATGCTCGCTGTAGGACAGGAGAAAGCTCAGGATGCAAACAACCCAGAGAAATACAGAAAGTAATCAAATATTTTCAGACAAATTCAATACGTCTGAACTTGACTTCTTTATGACCTAAAACTTTATCATCAAATTTTTGAATTTTGGCTGAATTGCAATTCATTTCCCGAATTATTAGGATCAAAAAGAAGATTCCAAAGGATAGGAGGCACAAATCCTTAAAACCGAATGCTTCTCACGATAAGAAGTCTTTTTGCATAATTTCCCTAGCAAGAATCCAAAGAATTTAGACTTTAGCCGTTTTAAGAAAATTTCCTGTAAATCTGAAAATGCAGCATGAAATACCAACTTCACTGATAAAGTCCAAGGCAGCTTCACCAAAAATACACTTGGCACGTTAGGTACCGAACAGATGGACTTCAGAAGACCTCCTTCAAGAGGTAAGGCTGAGAGTTAATACAAGATCTTGAATACAAGAAATCCACTGCAATCAACTAGATCAACTGTAATTTGCATACAAAACGTAGCTAAAAGAGTAAGGTTTCCAAACAATAAGGGCAAAATAGGAGGATCTTTACTATGACCAGCACTCAGGATAGAGAGAAAGTTATTAAAAGGCATCGCTCACAGCCTCTCATACTAAAAGTGGTATATCATCAAGAGAAAGATTATGGGATAGCTGGCCGTTCTCCTTCGACTAGCATCAGAATAAACTCTAAGGTGGAAGAAGTCTATTCCATTTTTAGCAGTAATCTGCTAAATTTTGAAAAAAGGGTTCTAGGTAGCACAAGTGGAGAGAAGAGTCGGCCCAAAAGATCCACTCAGAAGTTGCTCTTGGAATCTCTCAATGATTAACTTGTGACAAACAAGAGCATGCATAATTAGTCATAAAAAAGGATGTTGCCACACATTTTTGTTACCGAGACTCCGGTGAAGAGGAAAATCTATGAATCAGCTCAAAGCAATGATGTAGAAGGAGATTTTGTACTATCTTTTGCATATGTGCCAACTCTGCTAAAGGGTTGAAAGGTGCCGTCATTGAACAATCTTAAGGAGGAATTTGACGAGGAATAAATACCATCAACAAGAATATTTTCATAAACGTTCCACTTTTGTTGTCTCAATCAAGATATAACCTGACTACAGAGTCTAAATTGACTGAGGAGGTGCTCAAGGAAGGTTTGAACCATAAGCGTATGAGGCTAGAAGCATCTGTTGGTATGGCATCGTCTCATTATATGTAGGTAATGACACACAGGAGTTATCTCAAGAAAGATTTGGTAACAACTCTAATCAGAATATCAGTGGGATGGGTTCATTCTTACAAAAATTTCAGACCAGTGATTACATGTAAGGGATCAACACTTCTAAGGCTCACTAAGCCAAGTAACAAACCTTCCAAGCACAAGGAGGAGAAGAAGAAAGTTGAAGATGTCCTTACAGTTGAAGAATTAGAGTCACTCAATAACAATAATTCTTCTAGAAGCAAATAAAGAGATCCACAATTATCACAAAGAACCCCGTCAAAGTAACCGAATCAAGGAGTCTCTCAAAAGAAAGGAAGAGGAGAAGAAGCGACTAAAAGAAGATCGTAAGACCAAAGAAGCAGAAGATGCGAATAGAAGCAAGCTTTAGGCGTAATTAATTACGAAATGCATTATTTAGTCAAGGAATTCAACAAAATCAACAAAAGCCATCTATGCAAAGAGTGTAATAAAGTGATACCGCTACATGAAAATACCAAAGCTATTAGAAGGATGAGGTTCCATAAGAAATGATTTGATAATTCCGCTTATAAGGTATATTTTATTCTCATTTATCACCCAGGATCTGAACTCTCAATCTTCAAAATCACTAAATCCCAAAGGAAGAGGTAGATCTAAAGGCTCCTAAGCCCTCTGATTGCACTCAGGCCTCCTCTAAGCCCACGTCTACCCCACGCGTGGCAAAAGACGTCCAAATACAGTGAAAAATTATCGGTAATACACCCTATAACCCATAGAGTCCAGGACCAAAATTCAACAAAATCCCCCGCAAAGACCACTTGTTTCACAAAAACTCCTAACAGGTGAAATCTAGTGCTGAAACTCTAGACATCCGACTCCATTCCCGCAGAAAGTACGGAAGGCCGTCCGCAAATAAGCTTTAGGCTTACTTAATTTATATAAGAATCTTACTTAAAAGTTTTGAATATCTAGCAGCCTTAATAGCAATTCTGATAATTTTCAAGGGAAAATTTGATATTTGGGGTTTTGGGGTTTTGGGGTTTTGGGG